GGCGCCTTCGGGGCTGGCCGCGGGGCTCAACGCGCCGCTTCCATCTCGCAGAGACCCCGACAACGTTGCTTTCTGCGTGCTGGCCACGGACGAGGAGGACGAGGGAGACATTGCCCTGCAGATCCACTTCACCCTGATCCAGGCCTTTTGCTGCGAGAATGACATTGACATCGTGCGGGTGAACGACGTGGCCAAGCTGGCTGCCATCGTGGGGCCCAGCGAGGAGTCTGGGGAGCCGCGGGACCTTCACTGCATCCTCATCACGGTGGGTGTGTTGCAGGAGGTGAGCCATGCGTGGCGTGCTGTCCTCCAGGGCTGTGCTTGCGCTACCGGCCTCTGCACGGGATGGTTAAGACTGTCAGGGTGGCCCCATATTCCCACTGGTGGCCAAATCCTCTTCTGGGCAAGGAAAGTGGGCTCAGCACACACTATACAGCAAGTCAGCTGAGTAGTAGTAGTAGTAGTAGGCTATGCTGCTCGTAACTGGATTTCCCCCGTTGTCCACGAGGGTAGTATCTCTGCTTCCTTCATTGAAACTGTCTGAAAATGCCTTGCTTCCTAAGCTAATGCTTCTGTAAATATTATGATGACCTCAGCTGGTGAGCAGCGCTCATGATGTGCCACTTTTTTCTTTCTGACAGAACCCAACTGAAGATGGCTGGAAGGATCCAGCTCTGGAAAAGCTGAACTTATTTTGTGAAGAGAGCCGAAATGTGAATGACTGGGTGCCAACTATCACCCTGCCTGAGTGATGGTGACCCAGTGTATTGGGGAGGCTGAAACCTTTGTTGCATTCTCAATGTGGTGTGGGTTCACCGAAGTGTGCAACAAGCTGCTGATTCCATGGATTAGCCTGGTCAAGAGACTGGATTAAAGTCACTCAGACTGGCATGCAGTGAGCTCTTACAGAGAAGAAAGAGGAGAACACCTCACCTCACCAGTGAGCCTCGGTAGGCTGCAACCATGGAGAGGCTGACATACCATGGAACTGAAAGAAGTATTGTGAGTTTCCTGGTCAAGTGGAGCTGTTTCAGAAGGCAGAAAGAAAGTTGGGGGAAGTGGGCCAAAACTTTCCAGAACTGGATGGAGTACTGTAACTAGGAACTGATGGTTCCTGGGAAACACAGTTTTCAATATTTGGTGGACTACCAGGGTCTGGTTACCAAGACATACAGAGACTCTAAAGTGGACAGACTTCATCAGGCCTCTTGGGTCACTCTGCAGAACTGGTTTAATAATGCAATAATTTTTATTGAAGTATTTGCTGCTATTGAAGCTTTCATAATAAATTTTTGACAATTAATTTCTGGGAGTGTCTTGCTTACTGGGTGGGGAAGCATGTCACTGAAATACCACTGATGTTTTGCTCATGTGCTGTGGTCAAAGGTATACTCCACACTAATGGAGCTATTGCACTATGTTCTGTCCTGGGCCAGCTGAATGAGGAGTTGTGCTGTCCAAGTTGATAATTCAACTTTTCACCCTCGTGTAACAGCTGCTTATTGCAACAGCTTGCGAGACTAAGGAGCTGCATGCTTAATGAGCTCACATATTGTAATAGGTGGTCTTTGTAGTCTACTGAAGGAACACAATACTTGTTAGAAACATGGATTTTTGGAATACAGACCTCCAGTAAATTGCATCATTAGTTCATAAATGTGACTTAGTAAGACTTATTCAGAGCTGCAGTGTTCCCACTTGACAGAAACAGCTTAAACATTAAGGGGGAGCAGCAAAACCCCTTAGATGTCAAATACATCTAACATTTGCTTTGATTAGCATGACATCGTTAAATCTAAAACTAGCTAATAGTGAATGAATATTACATCTGCCACAAGCTGTTCTCTGATTGCCATATGCTATAACAATAGAAGCTGTCACTCCAGAAGCCAATTTTGTGAAACCTAATTGCATGACAACACCAAATTAAGTCCAAAACAATTTTAAGATGGTGTGGCCTTTTTCAGAGATCCTGTTGTGGAAAGTTAATATGGGTCATCTGATATGTCCTTACATTAAAAGGGAAAATACCACCCCATTTCTGTGCACAGTCTATATGTGTGCTCCAGGACTTGACATTAAAATGGCATGGTAATGATCTCCAGAGAGCAAGAAAGCTAAACTACTCACTTCCTCTATAGACACTAAAAATACTCAGTTATCACAATTACATTTCCTCTAGGCTAGCTTGTAGTGATTGACAGCAGCACTTGCTGAAAAGTAGTCATTTCTACATGGGGTATCTTGAACAGTTGTGGTTTCTGGGAAGCTGCGTGCTCTCTGTTTCATTGTTCCTGATAAGGGAAGTTCAAATTCAGCTCCAGCATTCCTGGAATATGCTCCCTTGTATAGGAGGTATCTAGCACTGCTTGTCCTTTGTGGCTGTTTTGTGAGAGGCTGTAGGATGGCAATGTAACCAGAGTTTAGGCTGAAGCAAAATCTATAGGGGCCTCAGATCTCTGCAAGTGTTCCTTCTTGAACTTAAGATAGAGGAATTTCTGCACAGACTGTTTTTCTACTGAACCTGACTTCATCAACTGCTGTCTGCTCTAGAACTTTGAGAAAAGTCACACAGATAAACTAAGAGAATAAACAACTTTGGCAGCTGTGATAACAGAAACTGCCTTTAGGGCAATTGCCTTGATACATAGAAAATAATCAAGTCTGGACACTTTATTATACATTTTTATATTTTTCCCTTAACAAATGCAGCTTTCTTCCTGCAGATGTACAGGCAGCTGTATATCTGTTCTTTGCCTGAGGCCTAATCAGTCCTCAGAGCCAACAACAGGTTAAAGTGAACTGTCCTGAAATCGACTTTTATGTAAAGTGTCAGCATTACTTTACAGCCTTGAGTGGTTTAAACAAAAGCCTGAGAAGATTGAAGGAAATTCTCAAGCATGTATACAATTATGTATACAATTAAAATATAGCAGAGAAATGCAATTGATTTCTTAGTTGAGGCAGTAGGCATAGGTAGTTGTACCCAGTAGGAAGTTTAACTTTCCAGCTTTATGGAAGAAATATATTATGCAGCAAACAATGAAATTAATGAAGCAACACCAATATACCCTTGCAAGGATGTTGCCTCTTATCCCTTAGAAGATAAGAGGCTGGCCTTTGTTTCCCCAGGAGCTTTATGAAGCTGTAAGCTGTGCCTCATAAGAGGTACACAATTTCATATTTTAGTGACCTGTACAATTCTCTGTGAAATCCCTTCTGGCTCAATGCAGATACACTGTAATGGGAATAGTATTAAAGAGAGTTAGCTTGCAAATGTTAATACAGTGCTGCAACCAAAGGCAGCTGTAACTTGCAAGTTATGTGATGCTGTAAATACCTGTAACAATCAACACTGCTTAATGTAGAAAAAATTCATCAGCTGGTATCTACTGGTACAAGTATACTTCACCTTTATGTGCTCAGATATATAACTGTGGAAGGAGCAACTATACAGCTGGTAAAGATAAGACAGTAGACTTGGGTTTTACTGACTGTGGAGGAGACAGCTGTTTGGGAGATGTTGGTTGGCTCAACAGATGTCCAGGGTGTTTTGTCAGGTATCTGGGGGATCTGGAGGGCAGGAACAGTAACCTCACGTGCCTGTGAGCAGTGACCCCCATCCACCTCATGTTCCCAGGAAGCAGAAGTGCCCAGGACAGGGGCACTATGGGTTTGCAGGGCTGGTAAGGACTGCTGGGAGCTCTGCAGAGGTGCCTACATCCCAGCTGTGCAGTCTTCACTGGCTGACTTGCTTTGTGCCATGGTGGGCCATGTCAGGGGGCTCTGGGGAGGAGACTGAGATTAATAGTTATTAATAATACAGGTTGCTCTCCAGGACATGAGCCAACCTAAAGACACAGTAGGAAGTGCAGGACACTGAGTGGAGCCACAGAGCAGTGGTGCTTCTGGCTCTGCTTCTGAAGATCTGTTTCCATCAAGCCCTTCACTTGTGTGCCACTAGGTGAACAAAGCTGTGTATTTGAATATTATAATCACAGACATTTGTGTTGTGCCGTCTATACTTCTAAGTACATTTTTTCAAATGAAGTGATATATAAAGTATCATTTAAATTTTTTTGAGTGATGGGTTTATGTTCCTCTGCCTAAGTATCTATTTCACTATCTAATAATGCTGACCGACAGGAATTTCCCCTCATATGCTATTTTCTTCTCTTAATGCTGTTTTCTTCCTGTTACACTTCTATGCATCACTTTACTTTTCTTTCTTTTGTGGTTATAGATAGTGATCTTCTCTTTAGGTGCCTGACTTCTAGTATATGCTATATTGAGTTAACTGCTTTACTGTCGTGTCAGGATATATATATATGCATACTGGCACACAGGACACAGTTGTTAACAGTGTTTTCTCTTTCTGCTGAGTAGGAAATACAAAAAGGAAGATAACAAAAAGCATATTAGAAAGAGGCAGGCAAACTGCTGCACAGAATAATGTTTGCATAAAATCTATGCATATGCTAGATGATCTGTTCGGACAGTATTTATAGCACTGGATGCTCAGGGAAAGAGAGCTGACAAGCCCTCTTTGCAGCCTTAGAGTTAGTTCTGCAGACTGGTGGAGTTTTAGTCGTAGGTAGAGGCTGAATTATCTATGTTCTGCAAGGAGACAATCTCTGCAAAAACGCTAGTGGCAGAAACATGCCATAGCACCACTGTCTGACGCATAAGGGAAACCTGGCTCGTGTCAACAAATCTGCTAACTCCAGCTCTCAGATCCCCTGTCATCAGGAGTGAAGAGCAGTGTGTGCCCAGGTTAAACCACGGCTAGCATACAGACAGTATATTACTAGTGGAAACAAATGTCATCACATGTGTGAGCAAGATAGATGTGTGGAGAAGGATATATGAATATTGTATACCTTGTAGGGACACACATGGTGGACAGCTGTGCTCATGACTATGCATCCACTGGACCCCATTCATTGTAAAGCAACAGTGGCAGAAACCAAGCCTGGCAGAGGGATGGAGCTGCACAGACAGTACATATGCCTCACCAGAGCCATTTTAAATGCAGGTTTTTATGAAAATAGCTTCTCATTCCTGGTCATTTCTTATCCATTTCATCATGGCAGGTATGATTTACTCACTTTGTAAAGTCTAATCATGAAATGATAGAGGAGTATTGGAAAAGCTGAGTTAATACTTTGTGTGTAATTATTTCATACTGAATGAGTGAATACTCCTAGTATTCTTCGTTGTCCTGCAGTAAAATATACACAGCATTTAGAATATTGGAATGTATGTGAAGTATTAATTTGAAAGTATTGGTGTCTTTAAAAGTATAATCAGATCCCTTACTTTATACTTTAAAAGTATAATCAGGACATAACATTTGTGGTGGCTATATAATCTCCTCCAATTTCCCACTGCAATGGCATATGATTATTTATTTTGTCATGCTTATTTTCTGATTTTTATGTGTGGAAAGAACACAGAATTATTTTCTTCAGTGTGTCTAATTATCTCTGTAGAGCTGACATTACTTTGAAATTATGACTTTGAAAACTTAGCGTGAGTGTACACTGTTCATTCAAAACTAGCTATAGAGATACAACAAGAGGTTTACCAACTGATTTAATAATTCCTGTGTGCTACAACTGATAAGAAAAAAGCCACCCTTTGTTTCAAGAAGAGCTGTTATAACTCTTTGTAGAAAGGCCCCTGTGCTGTAATCCATTGCAGAATAGTGATAAAACTTAACAAACCCACTCAAGATGAGTTTCAATATCAGAAGCAATTTTTACTGTCTCACCACATCATGAAATTAAGCATTTTCAGAGTAGAGAATCTAAGGTTTGCTTCTTACTCCCTGCTTTGCGGCACCTAAGCAAGAGCAGCCTACCTTTCACATCCTACTGAAACCAGCAGGAAGCACGGTGCTTAGTAATTTCTATTTAAAGGCCTAAACAAGTAATTAAAGCCCAAAGTTTCACATTTGTCTTCCAGAAACAAGGCACCTCAATCAGATACCTACTAGGTACATTCAGATACCTACTAGGTACATTCAGATACCTATATGCTCAGCTGGGAGCCCAGAGCCAAAACTCTCCAACCAATCAGATTATCTAGCTGTGTAGCCATAAATTTACATACCAGACTCTGGGCTTTACTCCTCTGCTTAAGAATGTGTACTGTAGGGCACAGCTGCCTAAGTGTTTTAGCTTGCATCAGTTGAGTGGCTGAAATGAATCTGTGCATCTTCAACTGCGAACCTGCTTTCGTTTGCATGGCAGAACAGAGTTGGAGCATGCAAACAGGATTTCTCTTGGAAAAAAACTAAGA